CTCTCTCTCTCTCTCTCTCTCTCTCTCTCTCTCTCTCTCTCTCTCTCTCTCTCTCTCTCTCTCTCTCTCTCTCTCTCTCTCTCTCGTAGTCCGCAAATACTGAGGAGTCAGGCAGTGAGAGGGGAAAAAGAGATGGTGGACTTAGAAGAGGAAGAAGAAGAACTATCTCTCTCTCTCTGTCCGGTACTAACCTGTGAAGCTGGCGCCTTGATGCAGGTACCTCGAAGATGGAGCTGGAGCTATGGCACCACAGATAAGTCTCGTTGGGCTCCGCCAGCCATCTCCCTCCAACGCTACTACTATTGCTGCTACTAGCGCCCTGCGCTGAAGACTACTCCTGCAGCTACTAGCACCCAATGCTTAAGACTACTGCTAGCGCTAACACTACATCTGCAGCGCTCCTCCAGAGTGCTGCTTGCCGAATCCTGAAGACTGACTCCTGCCTTCTCCCCCCCGTGAAGTGCATGGAAACTCCCTATGTACTACTCGGCCTGCCTTCTGACTGCCTGCAGCTGCAGGGTGGGTCAGTCCAGGAGGCTGCTCTTGCCAATGCCGAAGTGAGCCAGGGCTTGCCGTTGCAGCCCCTGGTGAGGCTGTCGTGGGAACATGCCAAAAATAGCCTGTTCCCGAAACCCTGGTTTTGTGCCTGAGTGTTAGGGCAGGTCGATCTTATGAGGGCCCGAAAGTGGCCCTCCGTTTCAGGCTGAAAAGACTTAGGGCCTTGAAGGCCCTGTTTTAGCCTGAAACGACATAGGGCCTGCAGACCCTCGTTTTTCAGTCTTTCAAGCTGAAACGACACGGGGCCTATAAGCCCTTGTTTTTAGGCTTTTAGGCTGAGACCGCGGGACAGGCCCTGCAGGCCCGTGTGGCTGCGCAGTATGCCACACCCCCTCTCCTTGAAAGACCGAGCTTACCTGCGAGGGCGAAGTTGTCTGTCTGAGGGAGGGACCACAGTCCGGGTGGGAGGGGGCAGGTCGTAAAGTTCCCTGAGCTAACCTTTGTCGCTCGTAGTGAGCGTAGATCAGCGGTGCGGATGCTTTCAAATCTGTTCCTGACATCCACCGAGTGTCGTCGGAATCGCATGCTTTGAATGTAACTTTGTATTGTCGAGGCTTGCTGCCGTACTTGCGATCCATGATGACACGGTCAACTTCCCTATGACCATCCTAAATGGAGGGTTCTGAGATCGTCAACCTGGGAAGTCGTCGCTCTTAGCTGGTGTATATGTCGCCAGCTTCGAGGCGTGAAAGACTGGATCGACCGTAAGATGCGGGGGAATGTTGATCACAAATTAGGGGTCATCGGGCTCATCGCCCGCGGCTGATGTGACGGGCCATGGTCCAAACCACTTGGGAAGCAGTTTGTGTGAAACATCATGTTCGAGTGCAAACTCTTCCGCGGAGACCCACACCAGATCACCGGCGCGGATGGGACATGGTACGCAATGCCTGTTGGCTTGCTGCTGCATGCGGACTTGAGCCTTTTGCATGTTTGCGCGGGCTTGATCCAGCAATTCCCTGTACTTCCGAATGGAAGCGGGGGAGCAAGCAACGTCTATGTCGGTTGTTCATGGGAGGATAAGATCAGTGAAGGTACGACCTTTTCGACCACCGTGGTGCAACTCGAATGGAGTTACGCCGATCGCTGGATGCAACGAAGTGTTGTAGGCGAACTTGATGTCGGGGAGGCGGTCAACCCAATCCTTCTGATCCGAACGGATGAGCGTACGAAGCATCATTTGAGCGGTTTGACGTGCCGCTCTGTTTGCTCGTCCGTTTATGGATATCGAGTCGAACTTGGTTTCATCTTCGTGTCGGATTCTTGCATGAGAGAAGTCCAAAATGCCGACATGAAGCGAGTGTCGCAGTCACTAACGATGTCTTCCGGCACGCCATGGCTGCAATCCAGTTGGTGTGTAGGAGGCGCGCAAGTTCGGGAGCCATGGCGTAATACTTGCAAGGAAGAAATCGCGCATACTTACTCAAACAGTCAACGACCGTGTGGATGCCGTCGTGCCCGAGCCGGTCGCGGGGAAACGGACCGGTGACGTCCATGGCAATGGAAAGGCCGAGTTCTTATGGGATAGGCATCGGGCGCAACTCGCCGTAGGGATTGCGGTTGCGGGGCTTGCTTCATCTGCAAACTTCGCAAGAGTCGCAATACCGATTGACATCGGTAACTTGAATGAGGCCAAGACATCAGAATCGTTGTCGAAGTCGTACAATAATGCGATTGACTCCAAAATGTCTGGCGAGTCGCGAGTCATGGTAGTCATCGAGAAGGCGAGTCCGAAGATGACGGTCGCGTGGGAAACACAATAAGTCCTTGCCTCACGGGTGGAGGAGCAAGTACTCGTCGACGATGCGATAATGGTTGGCCGGCGGGTGATCCGAAGATAGCTGCGCATACAACGTGGCGAAATCCGGATCGGAGTCATAACCCCGGATGAAGTGTCGCTGGAGTTCCTCGTCAAATGCGAAGGCATGATTTGTCATAGCGCAAAGATCGGGTCTTCACGAGAGTGCATCTGCTGCGCGATTGGAGAGGCCGGGGAGATGTTTCAGTGTGAAGTCAAATTGGTCGATGAAGTACATCCATCGTCCGATCGTGCTGCTCACCGTATCTTGCGTCTTGTAGTAGGTCAATGGGTTGTTGTCCGTGACCCATGTGAACCTACGACGCCCAAGGAGGAAGTGTCGCCATCGCTTGAGAGCCATCACGAACGCGAGCAGCTCCTTCTCCCTTGCATCATCAAGTGAATTGATGGGAGACACTTTGTGGCTGAAATACTTCACAGGGTGTCAGTCGTCACCGTAATGTTGTTCCAAAACTGTCCCAATGCCATAGCTGGAAGCGTCAGTTGTCACTCTCGTTGGCAGGGTGGGGTCGTAGATGCTAAGGACGGGTGTCATGAGCATGGCCGTCTTGAGTGCTTGGAATGACCGTGCGTCGTCATCGAATACGAATGGCACCTTCAGCAATTGTAATCTCATCATAGGTGCGGCAATCCTTGAGTACCCTGTGATGAAGCGTTGATAGTAGTCTGCCAACCCATTGAATAAGCGAACGTTCGTGGTGCTGGTGGGCTCGGGCCATACGCAGATGGCCTGGATCTTGTCCGCAAGCGGACGGATGCCTTGCGGCGTCACATAATGTCCCAAGTACTCCAGCTCTTGCCACGCGAATTCACATTTGTCGCGGTTGGCTTTGTACTTGGCTTGTCGTAGCCTCTCCAAAACGGTGCTCAGGTGCTCCACATGCTCGTCCAAGCTCTGGCTGTACACCAAGATGTTGTCGAGGTAGATGAGTACGAATCTATCCAGCATGTGTCGGAAGTCCATTGTCATACCCGCTTGGAATATGGTCGGGGCATTCGTAAGGCCAAAAGGCATAACCAGTCATTCGAAATGTCCATATCGCATCTTAAATGCGGTCTTATAGCGGTCCTCCTGCCGGATCTCGAGTTGGTGATATCCCGATTTGAGGTCAAGCTTGGAGAAGAACTTGGCGCCGCCCAGTCGTTCGAGGAGGTCGTCGATGCGCGGAAGAGGGCCGGCGTTATTGACGGTTTGCGCGTTGAGCTTTCGATAATCGATGCACAACCGCAACTCCTTGTTCTTCTTTCGGACGAAGAAAACGGGAGCACCGTATGGCGAAGAGCTAGGCCGAATTCAACCTTTCTCGAGAAGATCGTCGAGTTGTGCACTTAGCACACTTAACTCTTCCTCGCTCATGCGGTAGATGCAACCACGCAGAGGTACGGCCCCGTCCTCGAGGATGATCTCGTGGCGGATGGGCCGATCCGGTACTACTCCGTGCGGTGTTTTGAACACGTCGCCGTAGGCGTCGAGAAACTCGGTGATACGTGGGTCCGGTGGTGAGTCCGTCGATGGAATGTCTTGGGGTGGGAGGGCGTGGAGAAAACACACCCCCATCTCCTCGATGTCATCCCGGATGATGGAAGCTCGAATGCTTGCGCCGGACACTACGTGGCAGTTGATCGAAGGGTGAGGAGGAGGCACCGTGATTGGGACTAGTACTCCGTTCCGATCACGAACGTGAACGGTGCGGGAGTAGAAGTTCACTGGGTGGTCCTCGCTTCGCAGCCATGACATGCCCAAGATCATGTCGAACTTGGTGTCCAAAATATCGAAGGACACAACCTCGCTTGCATGTGGGGCAAAATACACGGGGACGGGATCGATGCACCAGTCGATTGACTTGTGTGTCTGGCCGTCGGCCAACGTGATTTGTGTGGGCTGCGACTTCCTCCGAACGTATGGCCCAAGGCCTGCGAGTACCATAATGTCTTGGCTCATGTAGTTGCGAGTAGCTCCGCAATCGATCAAAGAGTTGTAGGTTGCGTCTCCGATCTGAATGCGTATGTACAACAATGGCGCATCGATGTCGTCGTACCGTTGTGTTTTGAACTCGCGGTCAATCTTCGCAATGTAGGCATGAAGGTCGACAACATCTACTCCGACATCCATCAACGGAGTTGGTACTGCAGTGTGCAAGTAATCCCGCAATTGTGTCATGAGCACGTTGCAATGCGGTTTCGGCAATCGACCGGACGGGGGAAGAAGCATCCATTGGAAGTCCGCAAACATCAATGGGTGGAGCTCTTCAAGTCTTGACCAAGTCGTCGAATCCCCGACGATAGATGGCGGCGAAGTTGGCGAATCAGTTGCCGATGGTAGTGAAACCGTGTATGCGGCGGATTGTTGCACATGGAGTGGTTGGTCCAACGGTGGGACCAAGTGGACAGCATAATCCTCGTAAGTGAACCGAGGACTTGCGACATTCGCATCCTCCCTAGATGTGTAGGAGGCCACTAGCAAGGCGGCCAAATCTGGCGGAGTGAGAGGTGGAGTCGCCTCAACTCTCGCGCAACTCAGTTTCCCGAGTTGATGCGAGGCCGAACATCCTCCTTACCTTGATCCGGGCATTGGGAGGTCTTGTGCTTGGTGCTGTTGCACCAATAGCAGCTGCCATACCGGTCGCGCCACTTGTATTCGGCCTCGTGAAACGTGACCCCTGGTGCTGGCTGTCCGTTTCGGGCCAGCGATGCGGTTTTCGCCTTCCCTTTTCCTCGGGAGCTGTTGTTGCTTCACGGCTGGACAACAGCCACCTGATCTCCCTCACGTGATGCGTGGGTGGCTGCCCGGTCTTCCACAATGTTGTCCGTGTGGACTGCAACGACATGCTGCAGACGCGGACCAAATTTACCTTTCTCCATATAGGTTGGCTGCCATGCAGACTTCTCGTGCGCAGCCGCGCTATTGGTCTTGATGATCTCCCTTGCCTTGTCGATGATTTCAGCGAAGGTCGCGTATTGCTCGCGATCACCAAGTGCAAGGCTCAAGGCGGCACATGACCGGTTGTAGAACTCCCGGCGTAGATGCAAAAATGGCAATTCGAGATCGGGCGTCGCTGCGATCTTTTGCCATTCCGTGAGCCAGTCGCGTGTCAACAGCGATTTCGTCAAAACGGACATTTTTTTATTTTTTGTAAGAAATTGAAAGTCCACTCTGCAGCCAAAATTTGATGAAATTTTGGGTAGGGCATTCTGAAAACGCCCTACCCCCTCGATGTTTTTGGACTCAGCCAGAGTCCAGATACATGCAAGGGGGTACGGCGTTTTCAGAACGCCGTACCCCCCTGCATGTATCTGGACTCTGGCTGAGTCCAAAAACATCGAGGGGGTAGGGCGTTTTCAGAATGCCCTACCCAAAATTTCATCAAATTTTGGCTGCAGAGTGGACTTTCAATTTCGTACAAAAAATAAAAAATGTCCGTTTTGACAAAATCGCTGTTTGTCGATGTGTTGCCTTGCGTCATGCTGAAGAGGCGGTTGATGGCGAGTGTTGGTGCATCGTCCACGATGAACCGCTTTTTCCATCGCTTCGTTAGATCTGCCCAAGGAATCTTTGTGTGCAGATCGGCGAAGTAGACGCCATGGATGGTTGCCAGGTGGCTAAGCCAGATCTGACATCCGCCCTTTGAGTTAAGGAACAGCGCGCCGATGTATGAGTGCTTGAGGACGAAAAGAATCCGAAGTTCCGTCGTAAAGCCCTCCCACCAGGGGACCGGGTCTTGATGCGTATAGTATCGAACTTTTCGATGCGGAATGTCGGCATCTTGTAGTGCTGCGCGGTGTTGCCATCCTTGTTGGGCAGCTGATGCAGTTGCTGAACCTCGGTCTTCAAGGTGTCCAGCTGCTTGCTGATGGTGGTTGGTGCAGCGAAGGTGCTGATGTCGCCGAGCATTGCGACGACGTGGTCAACTCGTTCCTCCAATTGGCGGGTAGAGGGTGTGCTGCTGGTCGCGCCAGCATCTGGTCTCGGTGCTACTTGCTCCAAGTCCTGTACACGGGAAGCGAGTGCCCGTGTAGCATCCTCGTGCAGACCCTTGTGGTTCTGCACCGCTCGTCAGAGATTCACCAGATCAGACTGCAGGTGGTTACAAGTGTAAACCAACCGGGTCACGAGTTTGGCAAGGAACTCCTTGTGCTGCTCTTCGGGTGTCGCGTCGTCGTGCTGCTCAGATGGTTCAAAATGCCAGAACTTGAGCTTTTCGATGCTGGTGGCTTCATGCTGCTGTAGCAGATCCTGGGCCTCCTTGCGGCGTGCCTGGGTATCTGCTTCTGCTTCGGCTTGAAGCCGCTGCTTTTCAGCTGTTGCCGCCGCTTCTGCTTGTAGGGGGGCAGCCTCGGCTGCCACCTGACGCTGTTCCTCAACCTCGATCAGTGCGAGCTGAGCTTCGAAACGTTGTCGGTACTCGGCAATGGATTCATTGGCCAGTTGGCCTGGCATGCCCAGAACTGAGCCCGTCATGATGGCGGGGCACTGCTGACGTGGTATTGCTGATGTGATATTGCTGACGTGGCACTGTTGCTGACGTGGCACTGCTGACATGGCACTGTTGCTGATGTGGCACTGCTGACGTGGCACTGTTGCTGACGTGGCACTGCTGACGTGGCACTGTTGCTGATGTGGCACTGCTGACGTGGCACTGCTGACGTGGCATTTGCTGACGTGGCACTGCGGCTGACATGGCACTGTTGCTGACGTGGCAGTGTACCAAACCGGGAATGCAGGCAAAGGGGTGGGTGGGAGGGAAAACGTGGGTAGGTAACTAACCAAGTATACTTTCCTCCCGGTCCTCATTAACAGAATAAAATAAATAAAAATAAAAATAAAAGAAGAGGATCACCCGCCCTTTTTTTTTTTTTTTTTTTTGTATATCTGTCGATCTGTTATGAGTGAGGTATGTCAGAAGAGTACCATGAGCGAGATCTAGGCCAGGAGACGCAAAGTTTCGGCTTTCACAAAAATGCGATCTTGAAAAAAAAAATTGCGAAATAGAGTAGAGATGCGATTTTCAGAAAAGAACTAAATCCAGTTTCTGAGAGTATGGCAACCTCCTAATATGCCTAAAGGCTAAAACGAAATGCTGGTAGGCTTCGCAAGATTTCGGTTTTCAAAAAAAAATTGTGAGATAGAATGGAGATTCGATTTTCAGAAAAGAATAAATCCGGTTTCCGAGAATATGACCACCTCTATCGTTATCCTAATATGCCTAGAAAACGAAATGTTAACATCAGAAATTTTCGGCTATGTATGCGAATATCAGAGAAACGAAATGCTACTATCAGGAATTTTCAGATAAAACGAAATGCGATTGTCAGAAGTTTTCAGATATTTGTTGCGTGAAAACGAAATACTAAAAACAGAAATTTTCAGGTAAAACGAAATGGGATTATCAGAAATTTTCAGATATTTGTTGCGAGAAAAATTTCAGAGATTTGACGAAGTCCTACTTGATTTACTAATGAGTAATCAATGGATCAAGCAAGCTGGCTACTTGATTGAGCGGGTCCTCTGAATGAGAGGTCCACTCCGATACCAAACTGTTGCATATCGTGAAGGTGCAGACCAGAACAAGAACCGACCTCTGTCACAAAGCACAAGATAGCGTAGCGGAAGACTTAGATACCAATGATCCGAACAATCAATGTTGCAATGCAGCCTCAAACACACATCATCATCATTCCGTGCTGGGAAGGGGCCTGGTGCTCACACAGGAAGAATGCGCCAGTCCCCGCCATACACAAACGAAGAAGAGGGGAAGAGGGGAATGTCGTCAACACCAAGTCTTCTGCACAAGCCCAAATAGTCCCTCGTCAAATGTCTGAATCCCAATGTCGAGTCTGGATCCAATGTCGTCAAGTCCCAAAGTCACAACTCTCTCTCTCTCTCTCGTAGTCCGCAGATACTGAGGAGTCAGGTAGTGAGAGGGGAAGAAGAGATGGTGGACTTAGAAGAGGAAGAAGAAGAACTCTCTCTCTCTCTCTCTCTCTCTCTCTCTGTCCGGTACTAACCTGTGAAGCCGGCGCCTTGATGCAGGTGCCTCGAAGATGGAGCTGGAGCTATGGCGCCACAGGTAAGTCTCGCTGGCCTCCACCAGCCATCTCTCTCCAACACTACTACTACTACTACTGCTAGCGCCCTGCGCTGAAGACTACTCCTGCAGCTACTAGCGCCCAGCGCTGAAGACTACTGCTAGCGCTAACGCTACTCCTGCAGCGCCCCTCCAGAGTGCTGCCTGCCGAATCCTGAAGACTGCCTCCTGCCTTCTACCTACCCGTGAAGTGCATGGGAACTCCCTGTGTACTACTCGGCCTGCCTCCTGACTGCCTGCAGCTGCAGGGCGGGGCTGTCCAGGAGGCTGCTCTTGCCAATGTCGAAGTGAGCCAGGGCCTGCCGCTGCAGCTCCTGCTGAGGCTGTCGTGGGAACAGGCCAAAAATAGCCTGTTCCCGAAACCCTGGTTTTGTGCCTGAGTGTTAGGGCAGGTCGATCTTATGAGGGCCCGAAAGTGGCCCTCCGTTTCACGCTGAAAAGACTCAGGGCCTGGAAGGCCCTGTTTTAGGCTGAAACGACATAGGGCCTGCAGGCCCTCGTTTTTCAGTCTTTCAGGCTGAAATGGCACGGGGCCTGTAAGCCCTTGTTTTTAGGCTTTTAGGCTGAGACCGCGGGACAGGCCCTGCAGGCCCGTGTGGCTGCGCAGTATGCCACACACACACACTCAGACACACACACTCAGAGACACACACACACACACACACACACACACACACACACACAATCAATCAATCAATCAATCAATCAATCAAACCCTTTTTAAAGGCTTTTTATGTTTATTTTTGTTCTCAATTTTTGCATCTTCATTTTTTTTAAACACCTAATTTCCCTGCCAAAAACCGGAATTCATTTTTTTTAAAAATGCAGCACAACTCAGGGACCATATCCCTCATGATAAAAAATGACAAAAAAAAAAATCCTGCTTTTTCTTTTTATTTTGTTTTAAATATTTTGTTTAAATCGAATTTCGTTTTTCATTTTTTTTAAATCTTAAACGAAGTCCGATTCCAAAATAAAAAACATAGGATTGTAGGGTTTCTTAAGTTCTACACCCCCCCCATATATATATAAACTCCGACGAAACAGTTTGTCACAGCCCCTCGTTTGTTGTCCTCTTCTCCCTCTCTGCCTACGGTTTACCGAGCAGTTCTATTTGACGATATATACTGCGACTTCGCTAGCTTCCTGCTACGGTTTTCTCTGGTCAGGTCGAGCGGCAGTGGTCGGGGCCGTCACTACGCGGCCATGCTGTGCCTCTAGTGCCAGCGGCGTGTCTGGAGTGTATTTTTTGGCTGTGACAGACCTTTC